CTGAACCGCAGCTCAACCAACCTTGATCAGCCTCTTCTTTCTCTTCTGGTCTGTCTCTTGAATAGCGCGGGTTCGGGCGATCAGAAATGCTGAGATTTTGCTCATCGCCGGCTGCCCGTCGGACCCAGCACAGAGGCCGGCGTTCTCCATCCTTGTTCGCTGACTTCGCCCCTCCACAGTCGAGAGGGCGAGACTTAGACGATGATAGATGAAAGTTGTCATCTATCATCGCCCCATGCCTGCCCCGCCCCACGTGATGACTTAAGTTGTCATGTGGGCTTTTAAAACCGAAAGACAGCTCAACCACTGGCCCGACCGGCTCGACCTTTCTTAAAGCCGGTTCGGAGAGAGACTTAGAGCACAAACGGCTCTTTCCCAACTTAGCCACGTCAACTTAGAGCCCATTTCAATCAAGTAGATTCAAAAAGATTACTGCGTTCAAAAAAAAAGAGCTATATAGTATATTCTTGAAAAGTCTATGTGATGTCACCCAAGACCAAGAGTATATTCTACCCCAAAAACCTTTCATTACTGAGTCTACTATGTTGTACATGTCTTCAAAACTTCTCCTGTTTCTCTCTGTCGAGATTGACCACAGCACAGCTGGTGGAATAACCCCCCAAATTACTTTCCCTTTCTTAAACAGACCAGCTAGATTTCAGTACCATAGTAACTTCATCAGTCCTTTCAGGAAGCAGAAGTGGAGAACTGCACCCCAAACAGCCTCAATGATTTCAGCCACATCTCCCTTGCATACTTGTAATGCATGAATAGATGTTCCACTCCTGAGTCTTCTTCATCACACATTGCACATCTACTAGGCTCCACCATCGTTCCTCTCTTCACCAGAATTTCAGCTGATAAACACTTCCCCAGTGATGCTGCCTACATAAAGAAGGCAACTTTGGGAAGAGCTGCCAAAACCAATTTGTACTTCTTGATCTGTCCCCCCTGAATGTGCTCAAGATTTGCATTAATCCCATCCATTGTCCCATTTCCTAGTCATTTAAGTTCCTTATGAAAATGGGGCATCATTCTCATCTCTCTTTCATATCTCTGCTATGTCTGCAATATGGAGCCGTGAACTCCAAAATACAAATTTAATTGAATAGCTGATCATTCAGCTTAGCTAGGTAAAATTCTTCAATGCTCTTAAATCTTCTACATCATTCTCATCTTTCTTTCATATCTCTGCTATGTCTGCAATATGGAGCCGTGAATGTCAATAGAGGGAATTGTTTTTAGGCTCAGCTGTAACTATAAAAATATGGTTATGCTATTGTTCTAAGAGTTTGGTGTAGCTGAGGCTACACATATTGTAAACTTTCTTCCTAAATAAAAAAGGATTTTTTCTGTTGCTGATAAAAAAATAAAAAATAAAAGGAGCTGTGAACTCCAAAATACAAATTTAATTGGACAGCTGATCATTCAGCTTATCTAGGTATTGTTCTTCAATGCTCTTAAATCTTCTACATCACGGTTTTAACTAAATTCCTTATTTCCATTTACGTAAATTCAGTTTCTGGCCTTGGACCTGAGAGTATACACATATAGTATTAAAAACTGGGTGCATAACTGTATACTATTGCTCTCTTAATTTTTAAGAAAAAGAAAAAACTCGAAAATTGATTCCAATACTGCAATTCATCATCATCATCATCCACGCCTTATCACAACTATATGGGGTCAATACAGCAATTGGAGTCTTTTAATAAATATGTTTTCATGGAGAAGGTGAGAGTTTGTAATCTGATTCCCCACCCTCCCTTCTGCCCTCATATTATCTACTTTCCCATGGTATTAGACTATTAGTTGCCAGTTGCCGCCTGTTGTAGCGACAGTCCAAAGTTGCAGATTACTAAGAAATGCGCTTCTCTTCGTATGTACCCATATCCCCCACCTTATGTCACTTCTTAACAACAGCAGCAGCAGCAACAACAAAAACAATAACAACTCATATTTACTAAGAAACAGAGCAATTTAGTTTTTCCCTTCAACCAATGACAAAATTGAAGCTTTCTCTTCAGATGTAGAGTCAGTTTTGGTTTAGGGTTGCTTGTCTACACTTTTATTGAATGGCCCTATTCAACTTACGTTTATTCTATATGTTCAGCTTCTAAGTGCTCGAGACATGGCTCAACGAACTGTCATTGGGCCAGACCGCATTGTGTATAGCACTGACAAGGATTTTTATGAACAAGACTATGAAGCCCGAGAATGGGACCGGAGATTTCGGGAGCTTGAGAAATGGGATTGAGAAGACCCTTGGTACAACCATTGATCATGTACAACAGGAGGAATAGGGTAGCTTATCAGAAAAGAAAATTAGCACTGCAGGCTTGGAATCCAGTTTCTCTCAGAGAGGTTTGCTGTATCTATTGTACATTATTTTTGGCACATGCATTACATTGCAACCAACAGGTTGGAATTGGCAGTGGGAAGATGCCAGTTGTAACATGTTTATTTATTGCTTTATACACAGACCCATATCTAAGTACGCTTTATCCTTTGATTCAATAGCAATCATTGTTTATTATAAACCACCTCAAATGAGAAACAGGAATTGTTATTTAATACACAGAATGAAATGAAAATAAAAATATTATTAGTTTATTACTGTTTGTTTCCCGTCAATTTTGGACACTCCATCCCTACTGTACCTGAACTCTATGAGCAAAAAACCCATAAATAGTACTTGCTAAAAGATGGGCAATAACAAAATGGCAACTAAGCATAGACTTAATAAAAAATAATGCATTTCACAAGCAGAGCGTGGTACCAGTTACCACATGAAATTACCTGAGATGACGACTCGTGGATGGTGGATGCATGATTGAATTAAGAATGCCACATTTGTCTCTTTAATTAGAATTTAGAAAAAAGAACCCAATATAGTTGAAATTAAAGCTGCTTAGCTTAACTATTCGGGTTTCATTTCTTTTTGATAAGTGAGGACTGAGGAGTGCTGATTCACAGTCACAGCTTTCAAGCACCCACTAAAATTTTCCTCTCTTCTTGAGCAGACTCCGACAATTTCAAGGTCTCTGGTACGAACTTGGCTTCCTTTGTTATTTTTGCAATTAATATTCTTGACATTTAGCCACATGGGTCGTCTCTGAAGATCGAAGTAAAACTAGAAGACGGCTTCGTATGCATTTTCGGGCTTCGTTCATGCAAGACTCTCTGGGTAAACTGCATTAGGGTTTAGATTTTGGAGGGATACATGCACTTTGAAGTCCTAAGACTGTCAAATGTAAAATGAATCGGATCAACACTCAAACGATCCAAGTTGGTATATTAATTGCCATGCATATATCAACACAATGTGCATATTGCATCTGCTGGTAAATTGAGACTGACCATTGTTGGCTGATCTAAATCTGTACTCTCCCCCTGAAAAAAAAAAAAAAATAGAGTTTCCCTATAAAACGGCATATTGATGTTGGAGTGCACTGTTTGGTACGTCATCACTAATTTGTTGCTTGTTTCTCACTACACTGACAAGCTTAAGAGAAACTCAAAGGCGAATCCACTTTTCTTTTTTCCTTCATTGGAAAGAGCATCTCCCTTTACAGACTTGGTTGTGGGCTCAACACCTGTCGCTCTCTCTCTCTCTCTCTCTCCTGTTTTGGGACCAGATCCGGATTCCTCTCTTTCCTTCCTCGTGATAATAAGAGGCATGTTATATGAATAATTAGGCTGCCTATACTGCATTTCAGTTTTGTAATTATTTAGGCTCAATTTGAAAAGAGTACAAAAATAAATATGTACAATAAAAACATATATAAAATAAAAGTAAGATTATTTTTTTTCACACTTTTACAATCAAAATGAAAGCAAAGGCTTACTTCCAAAAATTGAAAGCTAACTTTTCACTCAAAAGCAAGGTATCAATTGACTAGTTGGTAAGATTTCTAGATGGTATGTAGTGGAGTCCAGATCTGCTCCTCACACCGGCCTCACAGCATGCATCAACTACACATTGAGAACATTTCCCAATATACAGTGGGATGTGGGTTTGAGATCGGTATGCGCTCTTTGAGGAGAAAATCCCAATTCGTAGTGGAGAGTTGGGATTGAATCTCACCTGGACCAGGATGGGGGGTGGGGTGGGGGTGTTATGAGTGTGTGTAGCCCCATGGAACGTGAGAGAAAGAAAGCCACCTTTTCACTCAAAGTTGGTCAATATAAAATAGATATTCTGGTCTTAAAGTTTATTTGTATCCATCACAGCCAACCAAATTTATGTTTATACTTATTTTTTTTCACCAAATTTGCATTTACATCAATACGATACATGTACTTTTTGCACTCTTATCAAATGCATCCTTTAGGCCGCCTTTGCCTTTCTAACATAAATCACCACATAGGCATTGGAGTTCACACGGTTAGAAATGCGCAACAAGAGCTTAGAAGTTCAGATTTATTTTTGGCAATACAATCTCTATCAGATATAGAGAATGGGTGCATTAAGATATGCAAAGGTTCCAAAGAATTTATGGGATCCATTTTCTTGTGATGTGAAGCCACACCGTGGGGAAAAAGAAAGCCCCATCACAAACCAGGGTCCCCCCTAAAAAAATATTCCTTTATTCCTCCACCAAATAAATAAAAGGAAACAATCCCTTTCTCTATATTATAATACAGATGTGGTCAGACACCTAGAAACTACATTACAACAGGAAACCCCATCTAAGCTCTGATTGTTTTCAAACATTCAACCAATCTTCTCTTTTTATTGGATGTTAATGAAGTGAACTAGTAATGGATATTCCCTCCTTATTTCAGTGTTCCCCAGAAATGACTTTATTGCTTTACATAATCTAGTATTGTTAACTTAGTTCTCTGTTGCAGGAATGCTCTGTTAGCTGTAAGACAGGTGGTCGAATAAGACTGCACTGGAACAAGAATGGTGTCGATGGTGCTTAACATGAAATGCAGTTCCTGAAATTGCGCTTACCCTGCATCATGTGGAAACAGCAATGAGTTAACCACATGGAAAGGTGGGGGAAGAGATGAAGAAATTAAGAATGATGCAGCAAATTAAATTGAATTTATTGTAACAACTTATGAACAGAGGCTCTTGTTATTTGTGGGTTCCATCACTATCAATGAAAATTATGTGTTGGAATAATTTGGTCCAATTTGGAATGCGGGTCCCATGGGTTTGAAGTTGGAAACTGTGAGACCATTCAGAGTGACAAGTCATGAGTTATTTGTTGTTTTTCCAAGGTTGGACCCCACAGTAGTTGCCTCTCACTCCACTGCTTGAATGATCCAGTAGATTAAAGGCCCCAAGAACGCACTTTGTGGCTAAGAATCATCTCATGGGTAAGCTTTAGAAAAGAAGATCTTCCACAAATGTTAGGAGCAGCCAAATATCTAATGTACCCCAAATACCTCAATCTAAGTATTTGAAGAGGGGGTTGACAGTCAAGACATTTCCTTGAGGAAAGTTCAATCTTCGACCTCATTGATCTTGCAGTTCAAATTTATGTACTCCTATCATTTCTCAATCCAGTTCTTTATGATTTCTAAATACATTTCAAAGAATTTGGAGAGATTGGCCTTTCTGGTTTTTGAAGGAGCTGGGCAGCCTTTTTTTTCTAAGAGGGTGCGGGTGGTTTGACATTAAAGATGTTTTGCTTTTTTCTCCTCCCCTCCAGCCCCACCCCCAAGAGAAAGAGAAGGAGCAAAGAAAAGGAAATCAAAGAAAGAAATGGGAAGAACTAGGACCATCATATGCAGTTTAAGTTTGAAATAGACCAAGGATGTCATTAGAACATATTCATACAACCAAAGGCCAATGTTATTGATTCTCTTTTGGAAAGAAAAAAGAAAGATAAAAGCAACCACCAGAAGCTGGTATCAAGAGATGGTGATTGATGCTGCCAAGAAAGCTAATGAAGATGATGAGCTTTGGACTTTCACACTTTAGGCAAAAGAAGGTAGCCAGAGCCGAAAGATGGACTCACGATGCTTTCTTTTTCTGGGGAGGAGCCAAGTTGAAATTTTGTCTATTGCAGACAAGAAGAATTTTTACATGAGAAGATTCATTTGCATGATAGATGTAAGATAAGAATAAAAATGCACACCCAACTATCAAATTTCATAGGCAAATATAGAAGTGAGGATATCTTATTTTTCAAGTATCAGAGCACTACAAACCACAATCTTGCAACTCACCGTAGTCCCATCCAACCTAGTAGATCTTTTAGGGTTAAATCTAACCGAGGGCAAAGCCAGAGGGGAACAGAATAAAAAGGAAGTAAAAGGAAATATTTTCCCTGGCTCCACCTTTGAACTAACCCAACCAAACTGTGATTCTAACCATGTGATCTGGAATTCTGGTTAGTGTACTATAATATTTTCCATCCTCTGGAAGAAGCAAAAGTTGTGTGGTCAGACCATCTAATTAGGAGGATTTAGGCAGAATAAATCAACGGAGGGTCTCAATTTATCTCCACCTACTCAGACCAAGGCCTCCAAAAAGATAATGGTAAATTAAACAAATCGCACCACTCACCTCTGAGATCTCCTATTATATATACGGAAAATTTTGAGTGACTTCAGCTTCAGTTCTTTTTCTTGATCCTTCACTCTTGTGGTTGACATAAGTCCTCAATCACAGATTAAACATGTCGACATGAAGATAAGAATACCCAAAAGGGACATTACCTGCATAATAGAACATGCAAGGATAATGTTAGATTTATGCCCTCAATTTTGTTGTATTGCTCCTTAATTGGATGTAAATATCAGGAAACCAGATTAGCCAATAATAGCACAAGAATTGTGCAGTTGTGCCTAGGGGCCCAGGTTACTATGGAAATGTAATATTTTCTGCTTCGGGGGAAAGAGGGGTTTGCTAATAATGCCGTTTTCAGATTCCCTACTTTGCCATTATGAAGCAGAATTCAAGCCACCAATCTTTAGGTTTTGCCGTTGCATTCTACCTCAGTGAAGGTGTTTGTTATCTGAATTCATGGAGTTCGATCTGGAGCAGAGTTCATACCTTAATCTTTGAAGCTGATGCTACTATTTCTGGGAGATAACCACGTAATCCAATGTCATAAACAGGAGTACCATCTGGATAGTACAATCCATAGTTCCTCTCCGAAGCTGGACCTGGCTTCAGATCCTCATTGAACAGTGCAAAAACATATATATCAATTGGCACGGATGGTTTCAATGGAGTACCCTGCTTCTCCTCTATCCTGCGCAGCAAATTCCCATTGTAAATCCCGGCATTCTCTGGTGTGGCCCCTGCCTCATCAGGATCCCCCTTAGAAGGCCAACCTGTCTCAGAAATTCTAACTTCTATATCAGTATGCCCCATCGCCTTGATTGCTGAATAAACAGCATCTATTTGCGCATACAACATGTTATCATATTTTAGATTCGTATTTGGATCAGTCATCCCTTGGTTAGGCCGGAAAAGAACATAGTCCAATGAGACTTCGTTGGGGTTAGCTTTATAGGCAAAGTAGGGATATGCATTGATGAGGAAAGGAGATTTAATCTGGGAGTGGAAATTGAGAATGGGTTGAATGTACTCAGCAAGATCTTGCTGAAAAAGCCCAGAAGAAGGGGGGAAGGAGTTAGCTAAGATGGAAAGAGAATGGGCAGTGGTGACATTCACTTGATCATTTAGTCCAAGGGAAACAAGTGCGCTGTAGATGGACTGCATTGCTGGAAGGAGATAGGACATTAATTGGGTATCATTACCAGATAAGACTTCGTTTCCAACAGTGATGCAGGTTATCTTCGTCTGAGGAAGGTAAGGCTGGACGTGCTGCTTCAGCCAGGACTGGGCTTTATTGGAATCAGTCATGTTTAGAAGATACTCATTTCCAACCCCCACTATGAACTCAACATTTGAATTTGAGAATGCCTGGAGGACATATGGATCAGCATCATAAAGTTTGACTCTGTTGATGTTAAGGGACTCCAGGAGAAAGGCGACTCGTGAAGGTGATGGGAGATTATTAGCGATCTGGCCGTAGTTAATTCCAACTGAAAGGCCGAGAGTCTGGACGACTATACCTGTTAAAATATAACAGAAGAATGAGTTAATTGGCACTAAGTTAGGATTTCTACAGTTCATGAGAATAGAAACGAAACTCTATCAAATTTCATAACGTAGACAAATTGAAAAGGCAAATTTGATGAGGAAGAATGGCATTGTTAGAGAAGAGATACCATAAATACTAAAACTTCAATGCATATAGATTCAGAATATCTATGAATTGAATTAAAAGAAATTCAGAAACAAGTAATAAGGCATTTCATAAAAAAAAACGAGAAATTAAYCAAAAAAATAGATTCCAAATGTTCTAAGAAGAAGAAACCGCTTAAGTGTAATGCTACTAGATGCAGTCAATTGTAGTTTTCAGAAATCAACCAAGGATTTATAAGCGGCAGCTGTTTCAGTATTGGAATCATCTTGAACTCATCCACCTCTTCAGATCCCAAGCTCCATGACCAATAAAAAAAATAACATGAAGTCTTAAAAGATTATGGATAATGTACTGAAGAAGACATTTTAGTGAAAAAACATGAATTTTCAGTTTTTCACAAATAATTTCCAACTTAAGAGAAGAAACTCTGCAGAGCATAGTAACTAACAGAGGAAAACCAGCTAATATATTTGGATTCTCAGTACTAATTCCTCAAACTATTCTCCATTTCCATTGCAAACAGAGAGAGAAATAAAAAACGGACACCATGAAGGAACAAGGAATACAGTTAAGACACATCTGACTAGATGGCAAAGTAACTAAATCAAATCCTCCACCGTTTTTAGCTCCTGAAAATGCAAAATCAAAGAGACCAAACGCATGCAACATAAAAAAAATCTAATCTCTGCTAGGAAACTAACAAAAACGCAACAAAAAGCTGATTCAGAGTGAACGCCACCACCATGAAAGTAGTGGCTTGAAGAAGAAGAAGACATACAGACCTGAAAGGAGGAGAAGTGTCMGAAAAACCGCGCGAAAATGGATAGAAATCGGCATCATTGTGTACTGCTCTCAGCTCCCTCCGGCGGGAAGTTGGGCACCGACTTTCGTAAATTCCAGCGATCGTTTGGTAACGTCTCTCCATATATAGAGGATATTGATATGGATCCGATTTGAACTCGGTTTTGGTCAAGGAAGATACGGATAATGGATCCACCCCAACCCGACAATTTTAACGTAAATTTAAATACGATATTTATTTATTACAAGATTTAGATTGGATCGGACGGTCAAACGAGCTCCCATCTGCTACAACCATGATTTAGCAAATTCTACAGTTGTCTAATTTGAACATTTGATGTGGATGTGTCTACATGTTTTATTGGAAGGTTGCGAGTTGCAGCATATCAAACCCTACCACATGCTCGATGAAAGAGACGGAGTCTGGATACGGTACGCACACTAACCACATGACAGCATGCTGACACCTGTCCCTTAAAATCAACAATCTACCACAAACATTTTTATAGGACACGTGTCATTATAATAATTATATATTTATTTAGTGTATTCATCAAATATCAGATCTATTGTGAGACCCAAATAAATAATGTAACAGGAGACAATTCTAGATATCATAGACAAAAGTCGGCGAGCAGCGATCACACCAATTAGAGTCAGGGATCTCCTCCCAACATAGTTTCAACGTGATCCATGTTCCCACATTTCACTATAAGATTGGGATCCACTATGTACTCAGTCGAGAGATTAGATTAGCACACCACACCACAGAGCGCATTCCACCAGTGACCCACATGCATATCTTAGCGTGCATTGGGAATATTTCATGCAATTGTTATGGACTGTGGATGGGACGATTGATTTATATCCCCTCAGTCTCCGAAAATGTTATATAGTACATCCTAAGCGTGTATTGAGAACATTTTGCAATAGAGACCAAATCAGTCCCCACAAGATTGTCTCCCATAAAATTCCACAGCACATCCCTGCTATGTATTGAAAATATTTCCTAATGATAATCCTAGAAATAATGATATCTTCATGGGGAGATACTCTCGATATACGATCGGACATTATCGTGAGGGACTGATTTGAACTCTTTCCAATAATAAGTTTAAGGGATATTTTTAATGCATGCTGACATGTACATCTACTGTGTTTTTGAGGTGCATTCTGTGGGGCAGATGTGAAATCAAAAGTTTTACAAGAAATTCAGAGAAAATCTGAATTCTGTGAGGTGGATGTGAAGAGAATCTCTTCCCAACAAAAAAAATCAACATTTTTTTCCGTCATCGATATCATCCATGTTGACAWTGTTTTTTTGTCGGGATAAAATTTGGAAATCCCTATCATCAACGTAGAGAATTTTTGGTAACTCAAGATTCCGTTGCAGTTGTAATATTGTTTATATATATATCACTTGCTACCACCTAACCAATCTTGTATGCTTGATTTCATTAGGAGATATATCAAACGACTGTAAGAACGGTGTAGGCAATAATGGAAGCGGATATCGGCCATAGCAGTACATTGAAGAAGGCTAAAACCATAGTCATACCAAACATACCAATGGCACTATTTACTCATGACTGGGTAGGGCTGTTCACAGGTTGGGTTGGGTCGGTTTACTGTGATTTTTCCAACCGACCCGACCTGGTCGGGTTACCTGACATAGAAACCGAAACTGACCCAGTGTTAAGCAAAATCGACCTGGTCGGTTTGAGTTGGGTTGGGTCGGTTTACTATGATTTTTCCAACCGACTTGACCTGGTCGGGTTACCTGACATAGAAACCGAAACTGACCCAGTGTTAAGCAAAATCGACCTGGTCGGTTTGAGTTGGGTTGGGTCGGTTTCGGTTCTAAGTTCATCCCTGTGATAAAATCTTGCTAATTTTAAAAACAGTCATAAATTGAACATCATTTCAGCCATCTCCTATGATAAATTTTAAATGAAAAGTTAACCACAAAAGTTGTTCATTAATCACTATTCATTAATCCAAAGTTTCTTGCAACCATTCAAAAACTAGGTGGACTAATGGGCTTTGGAACTTCATGTTTGAACTAAGTCGGTTTGGTTCGGATCGGTTTCGGTTTTCTTATATGAAAATCGAAACCGACCCGAATCATCGATTTAGGAATTTGCACAACCCGAAACCGACCCGTGCTGATGAAAACCTGGCCAACTCAGGTTGGATCGATCTAGGTTAGTCGATTTGATCGGGTTGGGCCTTCTTATAAAGAGCCCTATGACTGAGTTACAATACCCATCGGACACCTCTTATTTATGAGTCCCAGTTTTATGGTCAACCCTACCAATAAAATGCATTCCAACACCCTACCAACATCTGACACTGCACTCTTTATACATGTTGGGCCCCACTTTTATGATGAGCCACAGTTTTACAGCAAAATGTACGGTTCGTAGGGTGTTGGAATGCATTTTATCGGGTTCGTGATTCCAACTCCTTATTTGTAGAAGATCAGGAGCCTTTACCCTCATTTTGTGTTGATTAATTCACCCTCAAAAATATTGGTCATTCAATGTTGTAACTGTTTAAAATAAAAACTTATCTAAATAGAGTGAATGGAAATGTAGGATTAATGAAACAAAAAATAAAAAGATGAGATTAACAATGATAACAAGATGGATTCGGGGCAGGGACCATATTTTCCATCCCCAATCCCCATTTTGAAATAAATCCCTATTTCTGATTTTGATCTCCATTAAAGATAAAAGTTATTCTTCATTTCTGAACCCCAATGGATGCAGGTTCTCCGTTTAGACTCAAAATTAAAAATTTATTTAATAATTAAATAACATTTTAAATATATTTTGATATACATAATATAAACAATATTATAAATAATACAAATAACATCTGATCATTATTAATCTCCATCCCTATCCCCTCCTTATGTCTGTGAGGTAATCTCCATCCCCGTCCGGCTGTCCCCATTGGGTCGAGGGGGATGAGAAAATTGCACTTGCCATTGCTGCATTTATGCTAACTTCTATAAGTTTGTGATAAATTTGTACTAAGAAAATTTAACGCTATGTTTGGTTAGTTGGAAAAAGTAAGGAAAGAAAGGATTCCATGCCTTTTCCTATTTTTTCCTTCAAACCAAGCATAGACTAAGAGTTACACCAACGAGTCACCCTCGGTGAAGATAATGGTTTCAGAATGAATACAGAGATATTCATACAAGACACATCTCAAATAAGGACTCCAAAGAACCAACAAACTTGTTTTCATCCATCAAACAAAGTGGAGCTCCATGAACCCCACAAATAATAATTGATGAAAGGCTCACTGGAGCAAGGAATTACAGCTTTTTTTTTTAAATTATTATATTATTTTTAGGAGTTTCCAAGTCAAAAGAATTTGGATTTTCTATGTTTAGGTCACAACATTTGATTTAAGCGTGTCGTGATTGAATAGAATTCTCCAAATTAGGCATCGACTCCTCAATGAGCTTTTACATTCTGGGGGATCCATTTAGCGGGTTGCTTCTGGGAACAGAAAGCCCTAATACTTATTGATCTTTGTTGGATCAATTATTAGTGTTGAAAATACCTTTCACATGTATTCACATGTTATGTCAATTACATGGGATTTTCTTGACTGTGATCATATCGTTATCACCTAAACCTTGTCTCAACTATATGGGTTTAACCACATGAATCCTGTTTCATCATTCTCTTCTGTTTAGTGCTATATCTATCGTTATGGGTGCTTGAATCATTTCTTATCACTTCATTCAAGTCTTTTTCGGTAATGCTTTTAACCTCTTCAATTTGAACTTGATTGTGCTTATATTTATGCTTTTTAAAGTAAATATAGAGTGAATTAGCTAAAACCAACTAATGAACCAATAAAAAACAGCCAATTGGACCATTTAGCTAATACCAAGCAACCTTGTGAAGATGTTAAATTAGAGGAGGATGTTCCCATTATGCGGCTGGATGCCGATGCTTTCAGAGTGTGGCAGAGTTTTGTGGGCAGGACATTCTGAGTCCAATAATCACCCCATGTTGGCATGTTAGATGAATCAAATTGACCGAATCGATCTTTGGTTCAACTTTTGGTTCCATTTAAATAATTATACTTTTTAAGTGCATATCCTTGTCATATTTGGATTGCTAACTTTATCTCGACTATTTGGGGTCAGCTACATGAATCTTGTTTAGTTATTTCATTCTATCGAAGGCGGTATCTTTAATTAATCGGTCGCTTTCATCAACATATATCATATTAGAATTATCATGGTCCCATTCTCAGAATCATTGGCAAATAAAAACCCATCCCTTTCGCTGACACAATGAAAACTATAGGCTTGTCTCATGGTGAATGCTTTCTTGCACCGAATGTCTACCTTCTTCTTCCTCTTCCCTTAAAAAATTAGAGCACAACACTTTCGGGCTTTGTGGTTGGATGATGTGGCGTATATGTTTAGACAAGTCATCTAATATGAAACCCTAGTTGAATTTTGGGTAGCAATTTTATCAAAATATAGACGGTCACTCAATGTTTGTGTAAGATATTTTTATTAGGCTCTGTTTGGAAAGAGTATAAATATAAATATGTACAGTGAAAAATGTAAGATTTAAAAATACCATATACGAGGTTTTGTATTTGCACACAGCCATTTTACGAAAAAACATTATGAAATTATTTTTTAAGGGATCGAAAACAATACTTTTCTCCATGAAATATTTCTTTTGAAAAATTAAAAACATCGTATGACTATTTTATGGAAAAACAAACACAACCTTGAACAATAATCAATTGAATGTGTTATTTTTACATTTTTACTTCTTTTTGCCCATTCATTCATTAATGTTCTTCACTTTTTTTGACTATATATTTAAGAGAGCACATGTCTCAAATTTTGGTTCACTTTATTAAAAATGTCAAAGGTCAAAGCCATGTGAATATGAAGAGAGAGGTGCCAAAAATGGACTATTAATGCTACTGATTCAGGCCACATGTGCTCCCTTCAAAGGTCGGCTGGGGTTCAGAGGCCACACCTCGGAATGGACCATGGGCATTGCAGATCTACAACAATTTAAAATTATA